CCTGAAAATGCTGCGGCTCCATCTAGTGGCACTGCAGCCATGCCAGGGCACCAAAGCCTTGGCAATCGCTGCACCCAGGAAAAACAGTGGGATTTAAATCCTGCATTTTCAGTAAAATTATTTACTATTTCCTATAGGTTATCACAGAGTCTTGGACTGTCTGGAATGAAAAATATTTAAATTGCACAAATTTAGAGACATTAGTATATGGAAGATCATCCAGTGTATTTCTCTGCAGCAGTTTTCTGAATAATCACAGACTTACATATGTATTCCTATTTCTATGACTAAAATAAAAGAAGTTGTATGTTTAAAATTAGCACTCTTTCTCTCTATATATATATATATAGGTATATAAAACCATGAGGTGCTTGTAAATGTAACTTTGATACAAATTTCTTAAACACTTGGAAAGCATTTATTAAGCATCAAAACATTCAAATTTGCTTGCTCTTTCCCCTCATCAACCATCTGCTCGTCCACACATCCACTGAGTATAGAGCTTGTGCACGTGTTTATACAAACAGCAGAACTTATTCTGTTCTCAACTACATTATAACTTAATTTATTTCAGTGTAGCTGCTCTCAGGTCTGACATGAAAATTTGTGTCTTGTGTATCTATAGAGCATATACATATTCACAAAGTATGATGAACATATGTTGTAATGTGATCTGAATGTAAATAGGTTGGTTCTTCGGGGTTCTCACCTCATCCAGATGGGAATTGACATTCAGTATTTTACACCATTACAACTGTATTTAGTTTTTCAACACATCTTGTTCTTGCCTTTGATCTAATAAAAAATAAACATTCTTGATTTGATTTGCTCAGCTGCTGTGTGAGCCACGAAACCTAGATTTCATCTTGTGTCCTGAACTCGACTCCCATACTGATTGTACAAATCTGTTGAATTCAATAAATGTATTTAGCCTTATTAAGATTCAGGAAAGCAAATATTATCCTCCAGTGATGTAGCAGATAACAGGAGTTAATAACAAGTATGTGATAAAGATCACAGGATTCCCTGTAAACAAGATGCTGCATTGCACAGAGAGCATCTTGTCTGCATATGTTTCATAAGTAACTAGGCATCCTCATGGGCTTCTTTAGTTATTTTAGAAAGTTGTGTAAACAGTATTATCTGCTTAATGCCCCAAATGATATAATAATTGATATGGAAATGGAGCAAAGCTCAATAGATCGTAATGCAGCTCTCCATGGACTCTTGGAGATGATCTGCCCAGACTTTATTTAAATTTTTTTCTTACTTGTATGCAGCCTGTGTTTTGTTAGATATGCTAGGCAGATGTTGGTTGGACAGCTTTTTTGGTGGGTTGTTTTTTTTTTTGTTTTGGTTTTTTTTTTGGTTACCTTTTGTCCTGGGAAAAAGTTAAATTTGAATTTATACTTGCATTGGTATCTGTTGTAGGTATACTTCAGAGATGTCAATAGCAACTGGAAAAGTTAGACCATACTGCAAAGCTCTGATGTACTGTGTGCTGTTGAGAAAAGTGGATAGTAACAGATTGCTGATGTATAAAGTACTCTGTAGTGGTTGTGGGACTCTTCTTGTTTAGACTACAAGAGCACTGGAAAGAAATTCCAAATTCTAAGAAATACTCAAATACTGGAAAAAATGTATTTGAAAATATTTTTCTATTCCTTCTTGTGGAAAATGATACTGAAGTCTGTAGGTTTTTTTATATATTCTAAAAATCTCTTAGGTAAGACTTTTGCTTTTTTATTTTTATAAAGTAGTGGTTAGAATATTTGTGCTATTCAACCGCTTATTAGTTCTTCAAATATATTAATTAGTCAGAAATGTTTTCTCTTGCATTGACACCTCAGGCAGTTTTCTCAGGTGTATGACACCAGGCACAAGAGAAGCTGTGTTGTGGCTGCTCATGCAAGATGTACTTGAGTACACAAAACTGTGGCAGGGCTCTTTCTGCAAAGCTGGGATGCCAGTTGTGCTTCAGGATTTCTTCAGGAAGTGTGGTCTCCAGACCACTGTATTAGACTTTGGGAAAAATCACTTCTCTTACTTGTACCACAATTCCCCTAGCAGTAAAATGGGAAAAATGATACTTTGGAATGTACTGCTAAAATAGAAGTAAAATATAGCTTTATAAAAGAAGACAAAGTAACATTGGTATTCAAAAGAAATCTGAGATTTGATTAGTTGATCAAAGTCACTCAGTGGGCTTGGGACACTGCCAAGAGCAGAGCTTGGGTCTCAAGACCTTCAGCTGGAGATGAACTCCAGTCACCTTCCAGGTACGGAGAGCAGCTAATAAAGGTTAATGATGCAAACAGGATAAATGCCAGCAGATGTTAGCTTCTATTTTATTAAACCAAAGAAATATTTTCTAAAAAAGACCCATAGTTTGGGGAGGCAGGAAAAGGATGACACACGGATTTATTTATAAAACGTGCTTTTTTCACTCAAATACTGTACAGCAGTGAAGAGTGGAAGTAAAATGGCTGTGGGGAAGCAGGAACCACCTCTTTATGTTATGCTCTTGCATATGTGGCAGTGACAAAGTTTTCTTCTTCCAAAATAGTCTCACTATTGCAGTCCTTTTCCCTTTTTTTGGCCTGGCACTTGGAGGGGTGAGATGTGTGCTCTGGGGACAGCACATGAACCCTTTAGGGACTGCACAAACATTTCAGCCATTGTTCTCCAGTGGCTTCTCAACAGGAGTGAAGGGAGGGCCACAGGTAAGCAAGATGGATAGATGTGCATGAAAATGGCAGCTATTTGAGCCATTATCAAAACATTAGAGGAGAACTAAGATGAGGTGGCTGGTGTAGAGCACACATTCCATTGTTACACATCTTAGGGAAAAGCCAGGACAATACAGCAACACTGCTCTATTGCTGCAAAAGTAATGGGAAAGATGCTCATCTTGTCTGACTGCCTGCAGGAAATCTGTCCTACCTGCCTGCACATTTCTGACTGTGGAAGATAAAGCCATTTACAGGCAGAGGGAACCTGCTCCTTGCAGGCTTCTGTGAAAGACAGTATGGAAGCGGGGGTGCCATTACCTTTTAGTGTAATAACATGTAACTCTGCTGTAAAAATCAACTAAAAAAGAATTTGCAGAAGCTGACTCTTGAAATGAGTGTAAAAGGAAGCAGAATTCTTTTGGCAGGTCCAACCACTCTGAGGTTTTACAGCTAAGAAATCAGAATTGGCTGATTGCCTGTGGGGCTGATCAGCCACCTTGGTCTCATTACAGTACGATGTAATATAGAGATAATTTTGTAGCTTCTCTAGTTTATAAGGAAATAACACCTGATTCTAAAATGAGACTGCATTGGTACAGAAATTGTAATCCACAATAAGCACACAGGTTTGGCAACTCAATATCTCTTAAATTCTCTTCTGCCTCAAGATATCCTTGAGGATTGGAATAGGCATGTATAAATGAAAGTTGCCTCTATCCTAATGAACATTTCCAAGTTAAATGCTGGACTTATTTGGTCAAGTTTCACAACTGTCCTGTTCTACAGGTACTGAGAAACCTGAATGAGGAAACTTTATGGGGAAGTACAGTGGGAGGAAATAGGGGCACAGAGATTAAGCTAATTATGCTGAGTTCAGACCAAGTCTGTGGCAGAGCTCCAGGTGAAATCCAGGCTCTGTGGATCCCCATTTGCTGCCATAACTATTCTAGCTTTTTCTTCCAAGGAGTTTCAATGGAATCTCTGGGAAGATTAATAAATTTTACATCTTACAGATGTGCTGCTTTCCTGGTAATTGTCCTTGCTAGACATCAAGTACTTATGGACTCTGTAACCCTGTGGTCAGCTGCAATGTGGATGCAGGTAGATATTCATGGACCATCCCATAGAAACTCAGGAGAATCCAAGAAAACTGTGCCTGGGATGCTGCACACAAAGATGGGAGTGGGGAAAAAGGGAGGAAATAATTTTTTTCCTATTCTTTTGTTTTTTCACCACAATCTGTTGTGGAGTTAGAGCAGTGTGGAGGCCATTCCTCCTTTCTGCCTGAACTTGAAACTGCCTGAGTGTGATGCAGACCCCAGACATGCTTTTTTCTTCACTGCTTTGTTACTGAGTCACACATCCTCTAAGAAGGTGTTACCTTTGATCCGTTTTAACTGTTCTGCAATATGTTATGTTGTGGCAAGATTAGCCCTTAAGTCTCTTAATTAATTACTCTTAATTCTATTATTTCTGGTATAACTAGCAAAAATAATAATTGCCAAATAGAAATAATCCATGTATTTTGCATTTAATGCCTAGCTGTTAATAACTACTTAAAATATTAACTTTCCACCCTAGCCAGTCCTATTATTCTGTATTTTTTTCAATCCATACTTCTTGTAATAATACACAACAAAATTTTTCAGCTTCAGTGCACTTCCAATTAACTGAATCTTTCATGTCTTGGGGAGGTAAATGAATACAGGTATTCCTAATTTATAGACAGTGTCATTGTAGTGCAGGTAGTATCTGTAACTGGAGTACTCAGTGGACTATGTTCAGCAGACAATAATGACCCATGCTAGATAATGACAAGCTAATTAGAATATTTATGAGAATTAATTTACCAAATTATTAAAATAAGTGTATGGAAGAGACCTTAAGAGTGGAGGGAAATTACCAAGGCAGGCAAGCAAACAAGAACGTGCTTTTAATGCAGAAAGTCAAAAAAATGTGTTAGCTCCAAAAGGGAGGTGAAGTGTATTCCCTCGGCTGTGATGGAATGACCATCATTTGTATTTTTTGCTCCCACCAAAGTTGATTGTAAACCTTCCCCCTCCTCCTGCCCACAGCAGCTGAATTCAGTGGGAACGAGACCAACCCCATCATCCTCAGAAATGGCAAAGTGCCATTTGACCAGGCCTCAGCTGGAGGAGTAGAAACTACATTCAGTGTCTGAGGATGTACCCTTTAGCTTGCATCTACTGAGAGGATATTTCTCTTCTTGAAAGAAGTAGTTTCCACATAAACAAGTAATGCCTCCGATTCTGTAGATTTTCATTTGCTTTATTAATTATATTTTCTTATTCTGACTTTTCACACAAAATAAGCTATGTTCAAAATAACCTAATAATAAAAGATTATTTTCTTGCAAATTTCCTTTAAAAAAACCTTAGAAGTCCTCCTCAGTAATTCCTCATATCTGTACAGTAGTTGTAATACATTCCAACATAGATGTTTATGTCCCTTTGAGCATAGGAGATATTTAATTTTTTCCCTATTAATACAATGTTATATGTAAGCCAAACGGGTAATTTCAAGTTCTCACTCTTTCAAGCGTCTGCACTTTCATTAAATTTTTCTTATGCTCACCGTACGTATTCCCGGACTGCCAGTTCCTTCAGGGTAAAAACCCGTATGGGATCTTTCTTTGTCTTCCATTCTTCCAGTTTTTCTTGCAAAGACAGAAAATCCTTGCCAAGTTCATATGCCAGAGCGATCATTGTTTCTAACAGTGGCATGTAGTACCTGTGGCTGGTGTGCACACCGAGGCGTGCCAGAGCTTTTTCTCCGTATTCAAAGGCACTTGCTGGGTTTTCCAGGTCCTTGTGGCACACCACGATGGCACAGAGTGTGGGGACAATTGCAACAGGGTTTCCTCTCGTCAGCCTTTCCTGCAGCCCAATGACTTCCACGAGGATTTCCAAAGCTTTGGTGTACTGGCCACCCCGCAGGCAGCCATACGCTTCCTGCAGCTCTGGCCTTGTTAAAAAGTCTATAAATTTTTTTGATCTTCTGATGTATTTCATAGAATAGAGGAGTCTCAGGTAGTCCTTGAAGGCTAATTTTCTTTCATTGATTATTTCTTCTGTGAAGTTTCCTGTTAGAGTTTTTTTGGGAAAGGTTACATCTTCCAGTTCTTCGCAAAATTCTTCCAGCAGATTTCTGTGCAGTTTCTCAAAATCTGAATAACGCCTTTCAATTACAGACTTGTTGCTGTCAAAACTCCCTGTTTGCAAAATGATGATTTTATACATCTAAACACAACCAAAGAGAAAAAATAAGCATGAGAAGGGACCATTCTAGCCCCAGTGCAGTCAGATTTTGTCTGGTACTGCTATGAAAAGACTTTGTGCTTGTTCAGTCCTCCAGCTGAAACACTCCTGCACCAATTTTCTGTGTGTAATCTCGTGTACTCCTATGGCAGTGATGCTAAATCAGTTACTACCTGGGATTATGGTGCATTCTCAGTGTAGATCTAAAAGATCTGCAGCCATCAAACTAAAAATTCCCACCTCCAGCTGTTCTGTACTGCTGTCACCAGGCTTAGGCTGAGCACGTAAGTAAGTTGTACATAAAGAGAGCACTAACAGATCCCACCCTGCAAGGTGCTGAGAAAGCAAACTAGCAGCAGACTGAAGCACATAAAAACACTCACAAAGCATTTCTGTAGCTGTACTTTCTTTATAACAGCCATGGCTGCTGCAATCAATCATCTTCAGTGAACTGAATGGATTTCCCAGACTTAATATTGAATGTAATCTATTTTACATTGGTCATAATATTCAGAAATGCTCTTTGTATAAGACACTCCAAGGGATTTGGGGTATTAGTAATGCTGTGAAAGAAGAGGGAGCATTTGGCAATATATGTGGTGTGTGCAAAAATAAGATGGAGCATCTCCAAATGCTTTTCTCCCCTCTAAATCTTTGTCCTATATTCAAACAATTCACACTTAAATAATACCAAAAAAGTAACACTTCTACAGCACTCTGCTATCCAAAGCCCTTCCCTTGCAGCTAACAGCTGTGCTGCCCCACATTAACAGTACTCAAGAGCATGTATTCCTCAGCTCTTTACTAGCCCCAAAAAGACCATAATAAATGTAGTATTGGGCAAATAGCTGCAAAATTCCATGCTGTGTTGTCCAAATAATCTCTTCTGGTTCTGATCCAAGCACAGTGATGTTGAGGAAGGGCCAATCCCCAACGTATGCAAACCATGGTAGCTCCATGGGAGCCAATTTAACTGTGTCACCAGTCGCCACCGAAGGGCACAGACTGTTGACCTCTCGGGTGGTGACCATGTTCACATCCAACTCCACCCTGTGCCCACTGATTTATACAGGAGCTGCAGGGGTTTTGCTCATGCCAGTTATTTTCTCTGCTGCTGTTGAAGGCTGCAAACGAGTACTCGCACTATGCCTGTCTGATTCTCTTCCTTGTTTTTCCTTAAAGAGAAACTCTCTCTTTTAATCTTCATAAATGATCTTTACAGGCACTTCTTGAAAGGTTTCCAAATTTGAGCTGACTTCTCTGATCTCTTTTCATTTGTAAGCACTGTGGCATTTTCCTATACTTTGTCCTGCTCCCTGCTGAAAAGTGTATATATGCCTGACGCATTCCAAAACAATCATAAGAGCATTTTTTTAAAGCTATCATTTTATCAAGGGCAGCTAAGTGAATAATTTAAAAGAACTTGCTTTTTTATTTGTGGAGTGTGCATGAAAAAGGTAAGAAGTAGCTCTTAATTAGACTGTCATTCAAATTGGCTCAGTTTTGTTGTAATGTAAATATTTTTGCCTAGGCTTGTGACTTACGACTAAGTTTAATTGCACATATGCTGAATGATACTCTTGCTCTCATGCAGTTGCACAAAACCAATTTCTAGCTATTCAGAAGCTGAATACTCAGGTGTGTATGCAAGAAAAGCAGCAACTGAGTAGGTGTGTCCAGCATCAACAAGATCTAAGGACAGTCTCCAAAACATTTACTTACTTCAAATTCCACCAAACTGGATCACCCAGTATCAGCAATGCTGATTCTTGGCATTTTTCATCTACAGATCTCACAGACTGTAGCAAACAGGGAAATCATCCTTATCTGAATTTCACAGGAGTACTAAAAGGCACTCGATCTAGATCAGTCCTTCTGAAGGCCAGGAGCAGAATCACAAATACAAACCAAGTGTCAGTACTGGGGGAAAGATACAAAAATCCAACCTACTTGGTTGTTCCCACTCCTCATGCTCATGTTTAATCTTAAAAAATATGACAGAAATATGCCACCTAAGGGAGCTCCAAGTAGGGAAGGGGAACAATCCCAAGTGATCTAGCTGGAGGATGTCTTAGATTTTGTCAACATCAAAGAATTCTACATTTGTGCTAAAAGAAACCTCTGATGTGGAAGTTATACAAATGCACTACAGCTGCTACAGCTGGCTAGTTCAGTGGAAGTGTAAATATACAAATATTTTTACATTTGTGTGAATTTCCTTCATGTTGACAAAAGTCTGTGTTTTAAGGATACTCATGATACTAATTTATTTGATAATACTTTTCCACTGCAGCAGATTTAGTGAACTGACTGTCAGAGGGTTTTTTTAGATGCAGATTGCACCAGGCAGGCCCATACAATCAGTGAGAACAGGTTCTACTCAGTGTGATCCTGGCTTGCAAGAGCTGGCCCTTGCTGAGGCTTTCATGTAGTGAGGCCTGCTGTGTGCTGTGCAGACCCCTGTAGAGTGAATAAAAATTAATGATCTTCTTACATATTCATTTCTTAGCTTACCACATATTTAGATAAGTGGTGCTCTACAATTCTGGTTGATGGGATTTCAAAAAGGAGTCTGATTTGTTTGCACTGGCGTTTTTCATTCCTCCAATATTCCTGAAGCTCCTTAGTGGTCATTGAAGAGTTGGGACTTAGGGTTGCACTGGAATCTAAAACAAATATATTTAGTATTTCAGCTTATATTCTTTGCATTTGGGAAGAAAATTTTTATGTATCTGTTGTGAAAGGACAGCCTAGATTTTCTGTTGCTGTAACAGCAAGACCTAAAGACTGATAAAATATGTGATTTCACTGCTAACAGACAGGAGCAGATGCTTTGAGGAAAGCTATTAGGGTCTAAAGTCTTGAAAGAAAAAAATATCATCTGCAGAAGACAAAATTGTAGAGAACATTCTGCCATGAAATATTGTATGTCAAGGCTGTAACCTAGGGCACAGTCTGAGCAGGAGATTTTCTTCATCATCCCAGAAGTAGCCCTAAGAAACACTGACTGAGTCTTTTGAGTCAGATGTTTCTCCAGGCTTCTTTGTTGCTAAATGGATGAGATAATACAATGCAGCTGCAAATTCAGATATTTATTCAAAAACTGACCCTACTCAAATATGGGGTTTGTGCAGTAATAGGAGAAAGCTGAGAAAACATAATATCCTAACCTCAGAGTTGGATAACCAGCTCAGCTGAAGGAGGATTTCCCACATTCTCTCTTTTTTTTTTTTTCTGTAGCTGAACTGATGGCACAGCTTAGCTATATACATGTTTTTATATATATAATCTATAATATGATTTTATATATATAATATATATATTTATATACCTCCCTCCTTTTCCCTCTCTCTTCTCACAGTCACATACACACACACACATATATATATATACATATGTGTGTGTGTGCACATATAAAAATATGGGACAGCTGGTTGTAGAGTTTGCTTAGATTTTGATGCAGAATTTCAAAAAGGCAATTTCTCTGTCTTGGAAATCTTCTGATGATAGATTTCATCAGGTGCCATATAGGCTGGATAAGCAGATAAAAGAAATGGAATATTTGTATCTCAGTGGGCACACTGGTCCCAGTTTCTAATCAAGGATGTCTTTGTCAAGGCAGTCAGCTGAGGTCAGTCTGCAGTGTATGGAACATTCTGCCAATGGAGGTGAAGGAGCACAACTAAAGGGTGGGAGAACAGCTTGGTGCAGAAATAGACTTGTAAAGGCACCACAGTACTCTTTCAGTGGCCCCTCATTTTTACATGCTCTTAATCATTTGACCATACAGTTTCAATTATCAAGGCCTTGGGGGTTTGGCTCAAAGTATCTATTTCCTAGGAGAGGTGGTTTTTATGACATCCTTCCCGATTTAAAACCTTTATAAGATTATATATATTTAAGGTTATACATAACTCTTAATTTAATGACAGATGAGAGCAATCTTAGGCATGGTGGATGTTCAGTGCTGCCTCTTTAAAGGCATGTGAGAGCTGCCTCTTGAGGCTGGCCTCAGTTTGGTGTCCTTGCTGATACTGCCAGGGAGTTCAGGTTGCTGATGCACAGGAAGTGCACTCACTCCCAAGACCAGCCATCTGATGATCACTGCTTTCAGTGCTGGCGTGAAAATTAAATCTGTGATACATTTGAGGCACGAGGCATTTGAAAGGAAACCTCTGTGTGTGTATACATATCAGGATGAGCATCGGTTTCACTATTGCTACGTTATTACTACAAGTGTACTCAAGGCTTATTTTCAGTGCAGTGTGGCAGTACAGCTTTGAACCACTGCTGCAATAAATAAGCAAAGTTTTTAATACAACAGATTAACGCCACAAACAGCTAGATGAGAAATAAAATTAAAGGATAGCATCAACCTTGTGTGTCATCTTTTTCTGAGTTTTCTTTTCTCACTTGACATGAAATTTCAGCTTCAGGTTGATTTTCTTCTTCATCAGATGGACTTGTGGTAGAAGATGTAGTAATTCTGCTTACAGCTTCCAACAGTTCCTTTTCTGCTGTGCAGTGTGAATCTTGGTCCATTGCTTGCTATCACTGAAAGATTACAAACCCCATGACATTTCTTAGTACCACACCTTTAGGGGATCCACTTTGGTAATTTTCTTGTATTATTCATTCTGTTGTTTTCATTCTATTAATTTTTCATTCTATGTTTCTCTGTGAGCTTTTATCAGTGCAACTTCATAAAACCTAAAGTAATAAATAGAAATATCTACACAGTGCAAAACCATTCCTATTACTGTTACCCATGAAAGTGTTTGGATGTTTTCCTGTCAGCTTAAAATTAAATAAGAAAACCATGAGATGTTATGTTGAATAAGACTAGATGGGGAACTCAGTTCCTACCTATGAGAATTTTATAATGAATTCAGTGTGGGCAGATTTCTTCCTCCTTGTATTTTCCCCTCAAGCTTGCAAGTATGAGCTCAGATGAACTAAAGATCTTTGAGATAATTAGTATAACCAACAGCCTGGTTCTCTTACACTGCTAAAATTTACTGTTATCAAGACTTTTCAAAACTTATTGTCTGTTCTTAATCACAACCTGTAGGACAAAATAGAGTGATATCTAAAATAGTGTAAAGTTTTATCATATTTCACAGTTTTAGGTTCCATCCAGAAACTTGTCTCTGCACTGTGAAAACAAAACAACTGACTTTGACAATGGCTTGGTCGAAGGAGATCTGAATTTTTACTCCTTTTTCTTGTTCTTTTACCCTAGATATACTGTGCTATTTTAAATCTGTTCTGCTAGGACCACTATTTTGCCATGTACTGACAAAATGCTTAACACAATTTACTTCTACTCCAGTAGACCACGTTGGCCATTCTGCTGCTTAAATATCTCCACATTTAAGGATGTTCTTTGATGTGTTTGGTTTGTTTTTTTTTTTTAACAAACAAAACCTGCCTGTTATACCTACACTGTGTTATGGGAGCAGTTGGAAAAGCTCTAACATCCTAACAACTTTGCCAAGGTGCTGTGTTCCCTTAGCATGAGCAAAGTGTTGCTCAGAGTTCAGCCAACAAGTGAAAACCAAATAACAGACCAACACAGTTTTACAAGAAACCCTGCTAAAATAATGCCCAAGCAGTGGTGAGTAGGTAATGGGAGGTTTTAAGAGGGTTATTGCTACATATAATTTTGCCTCTACTTGTCTACCACACAGTTATGCAATGCTGGATACAGAGGTGAGGAAACTCCTTCAGCAGACTTATTGATTTCTGGCAAGCTGCAAGGCTACAAAAAGAAAATAAATTACTCTCTCCACTGGAAATAATGGAAGTGCAGACCACTTTCCTGTAACAGAAACCTATCCTTTGGCTGACTTGCACAAGCAAGTATACAGATATTGTCATCCTCCTTAATGAAAGCATCATGGAAGCTCTTATTCTTGGACTGCAAGTTTTTACTGTTCTTCAGTCCTCCTTATCTATTTTTGAACATGAAGGATAGCCACTTACTCATTGTTTAACTGCTCAGTCTTTTGAAAGTCACAAAAGTTTATAGCACAAGAGCATACATAGTAGATTAAATGAGGAATCTGAAAATGGTCAATCAGATTTAAATGACAACTTTTTTCTTGGATATGAGTTGGGATAACTTTATAAGAAAATCTTTATTTACATTGAGAAAACCTTTGTGTGGCATAGTTTTATATTCATAAGTGTATATTTATTTATTTATTTACATGTACTGTTTTAAAACAGTGTTTACCAGGGTACATAATAGACTTGTAAACAGAAGAATGCAGAAGTGAGTGTTATGACACACAAGTCTTCTGCCTTTAATATATGTACCTTGAATACTAACTGCACTTCATGCAAATAGTTTCATTTTCAGAGCTAAAACTCGTGGCAAACTCTTTTAACTAAGTTACTACTTATTTTTCCGTATTAAAAAAAAAAAAAATCTAAAACAGCACAACCCTCCTGCAATAAATTACACGATGTTATCTTGGGCAGACACTCATCACTGACTTTTAAGCAGCTCTAGAGCCCGAAGCGCCCTTGCACCCACCTGGCAATCGCGGAGCTCTTTTACTTGCGGCACATGTGCGCTCGGAGCGAGGCCACGCTCAGCCCTCCTGGCCTTTCCAAAACGCAGAAAAAGATGTCTGTGCCTTCTTCTAGCGGGCACATTCTGTGTCTTAGAAAAAGGAAGGAAGAAGCCTCGATGAAATCGCACTTCCCCGTCCCATTGCCCCACTGCGCATGAACCCTCCGGTGCCTCCCGCACGCCGGGGCCGCCCGGCCCGGCCCCGCTCCGGGCACCGGAGAGACCGCGACACAAACGATGCCATCCGCACAGCCCCTGCAAAGTACCGCGACACAAACGGTGCCATCCGCACAACCCCTGCAAAGTACCGCGACACGAACGATGCCATCCGCACAGCCCCTGCAAAGTACCGCGACACGAACGATGCCATCCGCACAGCCCCTGCAAAGTACCGCGACACGAACGGTGCCATCCACACAACCCCTGCAAAGTACCGCGACACGAACGGTGCCATCCGCACAGTCCAAACTACATGCAAACTACGCTGCATGGGCAGAGAATCAAAAAAAAACCACTCTGAGCAAAAGCGAGATTAAGGGGAAAAAAGAACTAAGTACGTAAAATGTACTTATGTGGAAAAATAATGCCCCTTGGGATGTCTTTAAAATACAGGCGTAACATCCAGTTCAGGAAAAAAAAAATGCAGATGGCATCACAACAAACAGCCTTGCTCTGTGCACTTCTGACAGAAATCCTGATGATGCATAGTGCAGAACACATGATTAATTACAAATATCTGCTCAATTAAAATTCAAATAGGAACATTATCATATTTGACATGATTACTAAACTTGAGATGGGTTTATGAGTGTGTCTAAAATTAATCCTATGTGTGCTAAAATTCATTGTTGATCTGAGGACAAAATGAAGAATAATGTATTAATCCACATGTCCCTTGGCCCAGATGCTTCCTTTTGGAGTTCAGTTTGGAAATTTGCTTTAAAACATCAGGATAGCTATTTCTGAGGTAAATAATATGGATGCTATCTTTTTTTAGTAAGGTAAGTTTCCCCTCTGCCAAAGTTCAGTCACTGAAAAACCAAGCAATTTTAATGCAGCACAAATGTGGGAGGCAAACATCCAAAGGACCACATGGATCCTGCCCCACACATTCCTTTAGAACAAACAATTTAAAATAATGTAAAATCAGGGCCATAAACTGGTAATACTTCTCTTCTGCTTTATTTGCAACATAAAACAATGCCAACTTTAACTTGGACTTGGTCTAAATGTAGTTTTGCCAAAATAGCTGTCAGAATGATGAAAAATCCCTTGCATGCAGCTACAGCCACACTGGCAAAAGCCCTGGAGTAGATGCTGTTATATTGGCAGAGTACTTCAGCCACTTTAGCATATTCCATGAGAAAAGTGATTTAAGTTACACCCAAAAAGAAATCTGTACTTGCCAATTCAGCTCTAAGGTGTAGCTATACCAGCCAACTCTTTTAAGTGAAGACAAGGCATGGGTTTCTGGCACTACTCTCATTCCTTTAAAGCTAGATTTATGGGTTTGGTTACAATTGTGAGCAAAAACTGAGGGGGATTTCAGTGTATTTCAATCATGCTGACAGTGTACAGATGTACCTAAACCTTGAATATGGAAACAGTTAATTTATGTGTTGCCAAAAAGCAGTATATTTTGTGATGCTTAGTGCTATTGTCCTGCTCTTGGTAAAGCAAAAAGAAAATACAATAGTGCATTTTTCAGTATATTGTGAGCTCTATTTTCAATTATTTCAGAATAAGTAAGTTCTAGTAAAATTAACCAGGATGATTAAAAGAAATGAGATGTAATATTATATTACAAATCAAAGGTATTCCACAAGACTTCTGCCTGCCTCAATAGAGGCAGCTATTATGGTCACAGCTGGTTCCTGGGGGTGCTCCTCATGCCTGGAGCTGGGACATCCACAGCAGGTTTGGCAGGCTGCTACTGCTCATCCTGCTCCCAGGAGCTCAGGTTTGGTCCAAACAGCACATTGCCATTCACTGGGACCCAGTGCTGTTAGTCTGGCAGCATTTTACCTTGCTAAGTGTCTACTTGATCAGCACATGCAAAACACACTGCAGTACACAGTACTGTTTGCTGGCAGAAGGCATAACTAATATCTCTTTTTATATTCTCAGCTATTCTTCCAACAGTCAAGTATTATGTAAAGGTTAAGCAGTTGAAAAGAAAATTTTCACAATGGTAGCAAAGCATTCTGAGAGACAGGCAAGTGCACTTAGACCATCAATTTACCTTAATACTCATAAAACTGTGGTAAATTTTAATGGAAAAGCATTTTCTGTCATTGTCAGGGATGGAAAAGGGATCCTGATGCAGTGGCTCACTCCGAGTTTGTATTCTGTGAAAGCACTGACTTTGCCAGACATAGACCACTGTGTTATAATGCACCTACCAGGGGATATGGAAAATGTGTGCTCTGCAATAATGCAGGAGTGAGGCAAGGTTAAAATCATAACAGTGCAGTGCATAAAATGTGCCTGTCAGGTGATTTATGTCCTCCATACCCATTTAGAATGAAATGACTCATTTTAAGAAGAATAACTGGGAAGTTTATGGCCAAAACTTGGTGAGAAGCCAAGAGATGAGGCAGCATTGTGATGCCATATAAAGGATGCCTGCTACTATTGAAAGGCTATGTGCTTTTGATACTTAAAGAACCAAAAGGGACTGCTGCCCCAATATCAAACATTCTGCCTTGATTTATATCCTGATCTGGGCAGTCCCCATTTTCCCAATCAGACAGATTACACAAACCCTGATAGATACAATATTTAACCATAGGCTACAAAGCTGGTATCAGCTGGAAAACTTGGCAGCTAAACCAATGTCATATATGAACTGCAGTTTTCTGGTGGATTTTATTGGCATTTTATCACAGACAGAACGAGGTCTTACTCTTGTTAAAGAATGTGGCTGTAATAGCCCTATTACAAAATGCAATCCAGCTTCTGTCCTAAGAAGTGCAGCTTCAGGCAACTTCACAGTCTGTGCTGTTTTTCCATCTCAAGCCCCAAACTATTTAGCTAAATATGATCTATTTTACTAAATCATCCATTAAAACAGTAGATAATGACAAAAAGCCCTAAACAAACAAGGGGAGGCAGAAATACCTGACATATTTATCCAAGTCCCTTTTTATCACATAACTAATATTTAGAAAGTGCAGTCATATTGTCTTTGATGCTTCTACAAGACCCTTTCCTCTCTGTTTTTTTTTTAATGCAGCTGGATAAATACCAACCATTTCAATGTTTGAATTAGCTGAAAAAAAATCATCTGTTCTGATGAATATTCTGCACTTTTGGGGCAATGCTGTGAAAAATGAATACCATACTCCTGTCTTGGCACAACATAAAATTCTATTCCATGCTATGCTATAATTTGTTTATGCTAGAATTTGTTTACCATACTTCATTATTACAAAACATGTCTCTCTTAACAAGAGTGTGGTTTAAAGAAATCAGTCGTTGTTTAATGGCAAATGTCTCGTGCTGGTGTTACTGACAGAGTTTTCAACATGAAAGAGATGTAACAGGCCCATTGTACACTGCCAAAGTCCTGTTATCACTTTACAACTCAAGGAGTATGAAGGAGCTGTAGAGTAAACAGCAGTCGTGGCCTGCCTTTCATCTGTGGTCTGTCAGTGACACGGAGCTGTGTGCAAGCCCAGTGGGTCAGCAGGACAGTAACTTGGGTTAAATGTCACAAGCACTGTTCTGTCTGCAGAATGACAGGCTTTGTGAATGGGCCATGTTGGTCATTTTTCCTGTTGAATTCACAGAGGGTTAAGTGCATAATTACATGGAATACAGAGTATTTTTAAATATTTGGTTGTGAGTTATTAGCATCACTACATGTCGTCATTCCTATCAAGAAGTCTGATATTCTATGCTCATAATGTGTCTGTCCCCTTTTCCTCTCACATATAATTATGGTGTACTTTGGCTAATACTTGCAGTCATGTTCCACATGTGATTTATTTATACCCAAAATGTAAACATAATGAAATTTAGGATAACAGGAGTTATAGCAGACATGTTAATGCAGTTTGCAGTAGCACAAAAGGCAGCTCCACAAGCAGAAGCTGCAGCAGCCGTGTGTAGATAGCCATCTTGAGGATCAGCAGAGCATGACTTGGGGTTACTTTGTGCTCTTCTGCTAAATGAGGAAGGCATAAATCTTTGTATATTGTTTAGTATAATATAATTTCAATGTTATTTATTTAAAAATTCAATGAGGCTTTGAAATGCAATTTTTCTTTTAAGGAACTAGGTGGAATGATTAGTGTGAGCATTCATTTGTAGTAGATGGAATTTCATTGTTTCCTCGGGATTTCCCAAAAAACTCCTGCTGGTGTCTGTGTCCTTTCCATCTTGCACATACCCACACAAATAAAACCCCCTGTTCTGCCCTCCCATCTTCCTAGCAAAAGCCTTGGGAGTGGCTCACAGTGCTTCAGAACTTAGAAATGGGCACTCCAGCCCTGAGCTGGGGCTGCGCTGGATCTGCTGTCTGTCTGTCTCTGGGTTCTGGAGAGCTATGGGGAAGAACTGGAACGGCCTTCAGCTAACGCTGAACTGCACATGTCACTAAATTACATAAAAACATACATTAAGGGAATGCTACAGGTGCTAAGAAACCAGGGAAGTGTTTATTCATATGCCAATATTACTGTAACCTCCTGAGGTATATGATCAAATGCTGTATCCTTAAAAGATGCTTCTTTGTAGGAAGTCCACTTGTAAAAGTGCAAAACTTTAGAAATATTTTTAAATTAATCATAAAGCACTAGTTTAGAATCTTACATGAATAAAAATGTATCTTCTTAAAACATGTTTTTTTTGATGCTGAAGGTGTAAATGGAGTCTTTAAACCTAACTGTTCTTTTGAGAAACTCCCTTCTATTCCAGGGCTCTTTCCCTCATTCATAATTTAAGCAGAGCTCACTATCTATAAACAGCACTTACTAGTGCAACAGTGGAAGTTGTTAAGTGGATAGAATAGCTCAGCATTCTATGACAGGCACACGGAAAAGGAGGTCGGTTAAAGAAGAACTACATTTGGCTTTTATTACATGAAATATTCAATTTCTTGGGAGTAAAAATATTTCAGAAGCGGGTATTGAAGCCAGACCGAAGCCTGACATCCGCGAGCCGGCTCTGGGCCCTGGGGGCCGCTGCGCCTCCCCTCCCGGGGACATTCCCCGCGGTGTCTCTGCCGCCTCCCGAGGAGCGTCTGTCGCGCCCCGCGTGCTGCCGCACCGGGCACAAACCCGGCGACTCCGGCTCAGGACGCGGAGCGGGGCGCGGCGGGCTCGGTCGGGGCGGAGCGGCGCCGAGCACGCAGCCCTCAGGCAGAGCCGCCCTCAGGCAGAGCC